AACATTCAAGGCCAGGTTGGATGGGGCTGTGAGCAACCTGATCTGGTTAGCGGTGTCCCTGCTGACTGCAGGGGGGTTGGACTAGATGACCTCTAGGGGTCCCTTCCAACCCAAAACATTCTATGATTCTATGATTCTATGATTCTATGATTCCATGATTCTATGATTCTATGATATTATGCTCTGCAGATGTCAACATTGCAGAAGCCCCAGACAGAAAAAGGAGTATTAATCCTAGAATAACAGAGAGATTGCTCACTACTGACAGCGTCTTTAGGATTTTTATTTTTTTTTTCAATCCCATAGTGATTTCACTGCACTTCTTAGTGTCAGTTATTATCCCAGCCTTGCCTGAATGCAAGCTCGGAATTCAGCTGTGTGCCTCTTACTGCACGAGCTGGCAGGGAAAAGGAGGATATGAAGTTATCGGTAAAGAGGCCCTCTGCGATGGCTGGGAGAGCCATCTGACAGCTTGTCAGCAGGCGCTGCTCAGCACCCCATGCCCCTGAGAATCGGATCTGGGTTGTTATTCTCTCCAGATATCGCTTTTGCTTTGTAGTCTTAAGCAGAATATGAATGTGGAAATTAGGTGGTAGCCACTAAATCTGTACAAGCATTTTCATTTCTCAAGCCTTGTTTCAAAACTCCAGCTGTGAAGTGCAATTGATGATACGCTGGCATCATATAAACGTCACGATCTTAATTTAGGACACTAGCTAAAGCTCACAGAAATACCTACAGAGTTCAAGAGGCATTGAATCAGACCAAAGGGAAAAATTTCAAAGATGTTTAAACAACCAAATGAAAATGAAGACTGGGACTTCAGTGGCAGTTGTGTGTCTCCTACGAATCCCGAAAGAGTCCAAACAGCTTAGGTATCTAACTATCTTAGAAAAAAAAAAGATTATCCTTACAGTTTACCGAAAACACCACCAGCATCAGTTAACAGCCTTTGCCAGCAACAAAACTCAGGGTATGAGAGCTCAACCTTGACTTACTGGGACAGAGTTGCAAGGAGATTTCTGAGTCACTTAGTATTCTGTTTTTCAGAATTACAAATTAGAAATATAATTACAATTATAAAAAGAATGCTGGAGCAATACGAACACTCTAGTGTCTTTTTGACAGTGCAGTTCTACAATTCAAAGGAATCTAAGAAGACTGCAATATTTTATATGAGACACGGGGGAAAACAAAACAAAACGAAGCAAAACACAAAAGCAAATAAATAATAATCTAACAGCAGCAGTATTCAACAACCTGCTTTTCTTTTGTTTTAGCCAGCACCCCAGGATGAAGTGTCATATTTCTGTAGTCTACCTAGAGAAACCCATGAATAATCAAGATCCAAAGAAGAGAGACAACAATCCATCAGGGCTTGTACTTGCATTATTCAGAGTGAAAAACACAAGTGATTTTCTACTTCATTATATTAATTCCAAATATTTAGCGCATGGCTGCATTGATTTCCTTCCTCTTTCTCCTCCAGAAATACGTTCTCCTTCTTAAACAGATTTACATGCCTTCCTTCTATTGTTGTATCTGACATTTCATTTTGTACCTCAAACCACTATATGAATATGCTAAATCGAGAGTCAGCTGGCATTATGGAATTATTCTGGCTTTGCAGCATGCGATTAGAAAACTGAGTAGTTAATCAGATAGCGATTTCAGTGTTGTTACTCTGATTTTCAATGACATGATTAACATCAATATCTAGTGTGGTTTACAGTCTTAGCTTCTTCAAATGTAACAACACACTCTGTGACTAAGAAATAAAAGTTTTTTGTTAGCAACACCCTGTAGTCTTCGACTCTGTCTTTTCTGTCCATTTTTTTTTGCTGTAACTTCATAAATCAAGATATTATTTCTAGCTGGTCTATTTATACTTACTTCTTTATTGGTACTCCTTGCTTCTCAAGGGCTCAAACCTGCAATGTACTAAGAATCTATTTCGAAAAAGCACTGAAATACACCATCAAGAATATAAAAAATACCATTTCCTGTTACAAGATTATTCTGGAGCCTGACAATAGTCAGGTATTTAAATGGGTTTTTTGGATCAGAGCCCTGAGGTTCAGTACCTTACAGCACTGAGCTTGGTATGCTTCACTGGATCGCCTAATTCACGATAACTTTAATCCAAACACAGGTTTCTCCCACACCTCTCCTTTTAAAAATTAACAAATCCTCCCTCACAAAGAATTCTTTATATGCTCCTGCACTTCTTTCTCAATAGTGTGTTATTAACAGAAGCAGCAGTTCTGCTAGAGGGGAGTTTTTTCTCACAGTATTTTCCACCTGCTGAAACCCAAAAGAGTTTATAAATACCTAAGAAAGGATTCTCAGAAGACATTTGTTTAATTTCCAACATTATCAGATAAATTTAGCTACACCTCTAATTCAGAAAACATCTCCTTATTGCTCCCTATGCTGGCACACTCATTTGTGGCTGGGGTTGTGTGATGGGATGTTGTCTCCACTGCACCTTCTCAGCCCTTCCAGAATAACATCACAGACCTTCATGTAGCTCAGTCCACCTGAAACTACTTATTTTCCAGGAGTGAGGAATGGTTCTTAAAAACTCAGAAAAAGTATACTTGCTCCAATGCACACATAACACTAAAAACCATCACTGATTTACAATCTGTCCTTCCTGCTCCTGCCCTTTCTATGATCTCCCACTTGCTGCTGGTTCTCCAACTTCTCCTCCAGGCAGTGCCAGTAGATGCTGAACTTCTCACTTCTTCTTTTTCCTTCATTGCTCTTAAATCACTCCCTTGCTCTCAGAAAATTAGAAAGTGAGCTCGCCCTTTACCTGGGCTTACTCACCACCTCTCCCACAGCGGCTACTAGATGCCCGAGTCTAGCAGACTTGAGAGAATAACTCACACACATTTCTCTGATCAGGAAGGCATATTACATTTACTTTGAGTGTATTTATTCCTCATCTACGCTGCTCTCTGCACACGTTTTAGCCAACATTTACTGGCAGAACTGGCTGACAAAAGAATTGCTTGCAAGAAATTACTACAAAATATTGATGGAAAACTAACTAGAAATTTATAAACCTAATTCTCTGCAGTGAGAATCAAAACAGGGACCAGAAGAAGTTCTCTCTGACCTCCCTGAATGAACTTTTCTTCTACAGACTATCTCAAAATTACATTATATTCAGAGTGAATATAAGATGAATGCTATTGTGGTTTATTATTTAATCTTAAGTAAAATGAACTACAATTAATATACAATCATAGAAAAATACTCATTGAATCTCACATTATGATGAACGTATCCATCTTACGTACCTAGGGGTTTTTATTACCTT